GACCGCCGGCGCGCCGCCGTCCAGCCGCGGGCGCAGGCTGGGCGCGCGTCGCGGCGGCTGCGGCGCCGCTCGCCCTGGCGGTTGGGGCGGCCAGAAGGACGTCATGGATCAGATGTCAGGAGTTTTGCTTCGCGGGTAGATACACACGGGGGCTCAGCAACAGCGATGGATTTTGCAGGATCTTGCAGAGCCAGGGCTGCACTGACCCGGGCTTGCGTGCAGGTTCCAGCAGGATTTGCGCAGGATTTTGCAAAGCTCGACTGGCCCAGGTTTGGATTAACCCGGGTCAGAGAACCTTTCAAGCGGAGGAGCAAGTACCGATTGTGCACGATCGGATTAGTTACGGAAAGAAGGGTACGAAAACCGACAGCAGGTCTTGACAATTTGCTACAGGATTCCTTGTCGGTGTCGCCACGGGTTTTGTCCATTTGAGACAGAATGCCGCCTGCCCAACAGCGGCCGCTGTCGGTCTATAACGATATTCGCTGTGGGGCATAGTATTCATTTTTGTCCGTATCCATGTGGGGCGTCCGAGCCGATACCGCTACCCTTGCCTCCTTTTCGCCTTTTCTCGGGCCTCCTGGGAGGCCCTCGTCACCACCGCTGGATTCGCCTCGAAATTGTGGTCAGAACTCACCCCGGGAGAGGTCTTGAGGAGTAGCGGTATCGGTACCTCTCGTTTTCCTCAAGAGAGCGGGCGGGCAGGGGACTCGGGGGCAGGGTGAGGCTTCGGGTTGCGCGCAGGCAGCCCGCCCAGGCTGTCTCGGCTGGACTCCTCAGGCCTCCCCGAGTAGTCTGGGGCGGTCTCATCACCCCGCCGCCGCTTCTGGCGGCGCCCCTGCACTAAAGGCCGCTGTGCTCAAGGGTGCTTTGTCAATCATCGAGAGACATCGGCGGCGCTCAGGGGGAACATGTCGATGTGCCATTATGACCAGACGTTATTATTTCCCCCATATCCAAAGGATGGGGTTCTGGCTATATCTGGTTACGCAAAAAGGGGGTCCAGCGAAGGCGGGGTGGTGGGGTTGCAATAGATTCGGGGATGCAATCTATGGGGTCTACATGTATATATATATATATATATATATATATAGGTGTGGGATTGCAACATATTCGGGGTGTGCAATGCATTCGGGGTCGCAAACGCACTGCTGGATGTTCGAGTGCAGCGCAGCATTTGCAACACAATGCAATACAATTATCTGGCGCAAGACATTTGCAATACAATTGCCCCAAATCTATTGCAGCACCTCCTTTCACCTGGACCCCCTTTTTGGGTCAAGAGGATTACTCCCCATATCCAAGGAATGGGCTTCGTGCTATTATTCCGACCGCGCTAACTTCCTCACACACCTTGCACACCTCTCCTTACTCATGGTATGAGATGTTATCGTATAGAACGTCATGTTTTTAGGACATGCTATGTTATGTTAAGTGTTGTTGAGGTATGGTATGATATGGTATGGTATGACATGTTAGTGTATGACATGCTATGGTATGGTATGATAATATGTGGCATGTTATGTCATGATGTGATATGTTATGAGTATGGTGGTGATGCTGATGATGATGATGGTGGTGATGATTCTGATGAGGATGATGGTGGGGCACATTCTGAGGACGTGTCGAGCGAGGCGTTTCAGCACCCCATGGGGGAGCCGCCAGGGGGTATTGCACTCCTGTGTTCGTGCCAACATGGCGGGGATGCCTCGAGCGGATTGCCTGTTTGCATGCCCACCATCCTCCGTTGCGGGGATGTCTCAAGCAAAGCGCGGGTGTAAACACCCCCAAGGGGGAGTCGCCAGGTGGTATGTCGCTCCTCCGTTCGCGCCAGAGTTGCGGGGTTGTTTCAAGCGATTTGTTTGTTTCACCACCCGACGTCCTCCGCTGTCGGAGCAGAGCTTGAGGATGCCTCGAGCGAGGCGCTGGCGTTCGCATCCTAGGGGGGGGAGATGCTGACGATGTCTCGAGCGGTTTGCTTGTTTCATGGTAGCCACAAAGATCTGCGTTCAGAGTAGAGTATGAGGATGGTTTGGGTGAGGCGTTGGTTTCAACACCCCAAGGGGCCCAGACAGCGAGGATGTTTCAGATTCGCCGATGTCAAACTCACACGTGCTCAGACTCACTCACATTCAGACGTACGCACAGGAGTGGCTCCAATCCCATGTGTTGTACATAGGTTCCTATCGATAGGGCCCCTCATGGGGCACGAGCCTTTCGTGTTTCACGTGTGCTTCTATAGATCGACCTTCTTTTGCGCGTCCAATCAAAAGTGCATTACGTAGGTCCCTATAGATTGGGCATGCCTTTGGGCACCAGTCTCTATTATGTTAAGCATGCTCCTACAGGCTGCCCCTCTCCTGTGGCTCCAATCCTAGGTGTTTTGCGTATGTTCCTATATGTTGGGCTTCTCCTGGAGCACAAATCCTCACCAGGAGGCCACGCGAGGCTCCAGGAGGCACAGGAGGTTCCAGGAGGCCCCAGGCTCACGCGCACAGACTCACTCGTACTACTGAGGCTCACTCACACCCGAACTCATCCACAGTTGGACTCAATCCCAGTCTACCACTACGCAAGCCCGTTTATGTTCGACGTCTCTTGCGCCTAGACACGCACGGCGGAAAGGTCCATGCAACTAGATGCGCATGTGGGGAGTTCCACGCAGTGCAGAATCATTCCAATTGCGCCGACTCCTCGCACCTCCCTGTCTTATCCTCCTTATTGTGTCATGACATGCTATGGTGTGGTATGGTGTGCTATGATGTGGGGTATTATGTTATGGTATGACACGTTAGATAATGAATTACTATGCGATACTATGATGTGGCATTGTTTATTATAGTATGACATGGTGTTGTACGTTATGATATGATACGATATGCCACGTTCAGCTATGATGTGTTACATTATGGTATGTAGTGGTCTGACATGGTGGTGTTGCTGATGATGAGGATGGTGATGCGGTTGATGATGAGGATGGGGATGGGGATGATGATGATGATGATTGCACTGATGCTGATGGCGATGATGGCGGTGATGATGATAATGATGCTGCTGATGCTGCTGCTGATCATGATGATGATGTTGATGTTGATGCTGATGCTGCTGATTAAGATGAGTATGATTGTTTGATGATTATGACGATTATGATGATGATGATGATGATGATGATGATGATGATGAGGAGGAGGAGGAGGAGGAGGAGGAGGATGATGATGATGATGATGATGATGATGATGATGATGCTGATGCTGATGCTGATGCTGATGCTGATGCTGATGCTGATGCTGATGCTGCTGATGCTGATGCTGATGCTGATGCTGATGATGAGGAGGAGGAGGAGGAGGAGGAGGAGGAGGATGGCAGAGCAATTTCTGAGGATTTCTCAAGCGAGGCGCGGGTTTCAGCACCCCCAAGGGGGAGCCGCCAGGGGGTATTGCACTCCGTTCGCGCCAAATTAACCGGGATGCCTCGAACGGTTTGCCTGTTTGCATGCTCAACATCCTCCTCTTTCGGAGCAGAGTTCGAGGATGTCTCGAGCGAGGCGCTTGTTTTCGCACTCCAGGCGGCCAGATCTTGAGGATTCTTTTCAGGATGCCACAGGAGGAGGCTCCAGTGGGCTCCAGGCGGCCCCACGAGGCCACAGGAGGTCCCAGGAGGCACTAGGAGGCCAGCCCCAGAAGGCCCCAAGAGGCTCCAGGAGGTCCCAGGAAGCACCAGGAGGCCACAGGAGGCCACAGGAAGCCACAGGAAGCGCCAGGAGGCACCAGGAAGCCCCGGAAGGCCCGACGAGCCCTCACGAGGCTCCAGGAGAAGGAGGCCTCAGAAGGCTGCAGGAGTGGCTCCAATCCCTTGTGTTTTACGTATGTTCCTATCGATTGGGCTTCCCCTGGGGCACGAGTCCTTGGTGTGTTAAGTCTGTTTCTGTAGATTGTCCTTCTCCTGTGTATCCACTCGTAAGTTATGTTCCTACATGTTGGGCCTCCCCTGAGGCACGAGTCCTTGCTGTTTTACGCGTGTTCCTACAGATTGCCCCTCTTTTGTGACTCCAATCCGAAGTGTTTTACGTCTGTTCCTATCGATTGGGCTTCTCCTGGGGCACGAATCCTCCCCAGGAGGCCCCGGGAGGCCACACGAGGCCCCAGGAGGTCTCAGGAGGCCACAGGAAGCCCCAAGAGGCCCCACGAGGCCCCTAGAGGCTCCAGGAGGCCCCAGGAAGCCCCGGGAGGTTTCAAGAGGCACCAGAAGGCCCCAGGCTCATGCGCAGAGACGCCCTAATACCAGTGAGACTCATTCACACTCCAACTCATTCACAGTTAGATTCACCCCCCGACCGGCAATACTCAATTCTGTATAGATTCGACAACGTCTTGCTCCTAGGCACTCACGGCTGGCAGGTCCATGCTAATAGATGCACATTTGGGGAGGTCCACGCATTGAGTAACTTTTTACTGCGGGGCATTTTCGCCCGGTTTCGGGACCCAAGACCATCATGGAGCTGGCTCGAAAAGTACAGCAGAAAGATGGGGTCCAGCGTTCTGGTCGAGTTTCCAACGATGTTGCGCGATGTTTCGTGGCGTCGGATCTGAAGAACGTTTAATGTTTCTCTGCCCAGGGTTCTCTTTTGGTTTTGTTGCCCCCCCCGGTTTCGACGGAAGAGGGACAGCGGAGCTACTTGCCGTACAAAGCGTGTTGTTTCAAACACATGCGTTCCGCGCGTGTCCGTTCGAGGAAAATGTGCTCCCCCGCATTTCAGATCCTCAATAAATACCGGGATCCGCAGACCCGCGCTTTCTTTCATTTAGAAAAGGTTGCAAAGCGTGTTGCGCGGAATCTTGGATTAATATTGAGGTGTGGAGACACTAGAATATTACATACAATGACCGAGTGTTGACTTGTTGCGTGCCCGCTCGAGAACGGCACGCCCTGCGCGCAGGTGTCTCGAGGATGTCTCGGTTGGTTTGCATAAGGACTGTGGTCTTTCTGTGTGCCCACTCGAGGACTGCGCGCCGTGCGTGCCGAATCTCAGGATTTCTCGATCGAGACGGTTCCTCTGCAGCGCTGGAAAGGCCTTGGAGCCCCAGGATGCCCAGGCGGATCTGGGAATGCTTTGGGAGCGACACGCCACGTGGGCTCCTAACATCCCAGAGCGAGTTCAGCGTGAAAACACATAGTTTCTTAACGCCTCAGAACGGGGCAAGCGTGAAAGCACATGGGTTCCGGACGCCCCTAAGCGGGGCAAGCGTGTAAAGTTTTGGGCTCCCAACGCCCCGGGGCGGACAGGCGTGAAAACACATGGGTTCCATTCCCAACGGCCCAAAGCGGGACAAGCGTGAAAACATTCGGGCTTCTAACGCCCCAGAGTGGGACAAGCGTGAAAACGGTTTGGTTCCTAACGCCCCAGAGCGGGACAAGCGTGAAAACATTTTGGTTTCTTACGCCCCACAGCGGGACAAGAGCGAAAACACATGGGACCTTAACGCTCCCCTGAGCGGGACAAGCGTGAAAACCATGGGTTTCTAACGCCCCAGGGCAGGACAAGCATGAAAACACATGGGCTCCTAACGCTCCAGGGCGGGACAAGCGTGAAAACACATGGATTCCGAACGACCCAGGGCAGGACAAACGTAGAAACATGTCGATTCCTAACGCCCCAGAGCGGGACAAGCGTGAGAACACACGAGGTCCTAACCCCCCAGAGCAGGACAATTGTGAAAACAAGAGGGTTCCTGACGCCCCAGAGCGGGACAAGCGTGAAACCACATGGGCTTCGAACGCCCCAGAGCGGGACAAGCGTAGAATCGCATGGGGTCGTATCGCCCCAGAGCGGGACAACAATGGCAACACGTGGATTCCGAACGCTTCAGGGCGGGACAAGCGTGAAATCACTTGGTTTGCTATCTCCCCAGAGGGGGACAGCGTATGCCCCTTCCCACTCGGCGCGTCCCCTGGCTCGTCCTCTGTCGCGTTCCCTGGCGTGTCTCCTGGCGATTCCAAAAACGCCCCGAGACACTTCCAGGCCAGCCCCAAAAAGCACCAAGCCGCCCCCGAGCCGCTGGAGAATTACTCCCAGACCATCGCGGTCGTCTCCAGATGGCCCACCACGCTCCCGAGATGTTCCACTCCACGAAGGCTTCCATACGGTTCAAAGCGCCCCCCGAGATGCTCCAAGAAGGTTCCCAGACGGCCCCCCAAGAGGGCCCCAGGAGGCAAACATCAGTTCATGCTTTTAGATTGTTGACGTTTTTGCGGGCTTCCGCCTATTCGGTTTGCCGGTGTTCCAACCCAGAGCCAGAAGCGCCTCCACCCACTTCAAGACGGCTCCAGGGGCTCTCCCCAGGAACTTGTTTTCCCAGGCAAACGCCCACGAATCGCTCTCTTCCTGCATACCCACACCTACGCAACACATTATTGTATATTTTCACACATGTATGGAAGTTAATCGATATATCTATATACATGCACAATATCGCAATTACATAATATGTATACTACATTGTACATCGTTGGACATATATGTATATACATGTAAACAGATGCCGCTGGCCGATCCATCGCCAAGTCTAGCTCGATTTCACTTCCCCCCCCGAGGCGGGCGGCGGGCGGGCGGCGTCGCGGCGGGGGCGGGCTGTTGCGCGCCGGCGGTGCGGCGAGGCCAGAAGGGGGAGCGGGAAGTCGCGTGAGGGGCCCAGGCAGGGCCCTTTACGATCCGATCGATCCGACCCGATGTCGACTGCACCCAGTCCGGTTCGATTCCGAGATTCCGACGATGTGATTCGGCCCGATGGTTTCTTCTCCGACGTCCGACGATTCCGACGATCCGATACGTCAAAGTTGTGATAGCGAGCCTGGTCTCCAACGTGCTTAGCACCGCTCGGACGTGTGCACCTTTGTCCGCGAGGCCAGCGCCAGAATACCTGGATCATTGTGGAGCACCTTGGATGACCTTGAAAGAAAAGCGCGCGCGAAACCACACGATGCACGGGGAATGGACGTCCGAGCGATGGGAAGTGTATTGATTAAAGTCAACGCGGATGTTTGTTCGTCGTGCTCGGCCCCTTGGGAGCCCTTGCTGGGCTCTAGGAGCGTCAAAACAACGATTCAGGACTGAAACCCGCCCTGGGTAAAGGGTGGGGACGTTTCTGAGGACCACGTAGCGAAAAAACAACACGCCATCTCTGGGAATGCGTTCCAAGCTTTCCAGGGTCTCCAAGGCTTCGATGATTTCCTGCTGTGCCGCACGGGCACCGGAGTCGAGGAAGGAACACTTGCACATCCGTAAACTTTCGGAGGTCCGCGCGGAGTTCTTGGATCGGCGTTGCCCCCCCGGGCCACGCCTCTGGCGCCGCGCCTGGCGGGCTCCGCGCGCCAGGGAAGGACGGCCCAGCGCGGATCCGAGGAATCATCGAGGACCTCCGACAGTTTGTGATCGTACAGCGTGTTGTCTCCCTAGGTCAAATAAGGAAAAGGTCCATACCTCTACCCCGTCGCCCGTTTTCCCCTTCTTGGGCCTCCTGGGAGGCCGTCGTCGCCGCCGCTGGATTCGCCTCGAAAGCCTGGGCAGAACGCACCCTGGGAGAGGTCTGGGGTGTAGCGGTAACAGTACCTTTTGGTTTCCCCATTAAGGACGGGACGTGGGCCGTTAGACAGATCCAGCATTCTTGGAGCGTCTCCTAAGCCAATCCTAGCACGGCATCCTCTTTGTCCTAGGCGGGGCGGAGCAAGGCGGCGCAGGATGAATTGGGCCTCCAGAGACTCGAATCTGTTTCGTTGTGGGCGTTCGGAGGTTTCTGTCGGCTGCCACGGCTGGCGTCCCCCTGGACCGCCGCCGCCGCGGCTTCCGTGTTTCTGTTGACGTTCTTTGGTCCCCGGAAGGCCTCTTTCGTCGTCAGGGCCGGATTCCCCTGGACAAAAGCTTGGTCGGCATTGCGCCCCGGGACGGGCGAGGGGAGGGTGGAGCATCCTCCGCTTCCGAGGGCTCTGGGGGTCCGAGGTTCTCGGGGCTTCTGTGGGTTGTTGGAGGTTTCTTCGCCCTGGGATGCCTGCCAGCACCTGCGCCTCGCTGGGAGTGTGCCGCGTGCCAGGGGTGCCCGAATCGTCCCGAGGCCCGAGTTATGGCCCGAACGCCGGGCCTCCAGCTATCGAAGAAAAGCGAGAACACTGTTTTCCGTTTTCGGTATCTGGGGCTCTCGCTTGGTCCGCTTGGTCTCACAGCCGTCAGGAAACAGAAACGGCCCTGGTGAAAGCATCGGGACTCCCGTTGGCGACCGACGTTCGATCTATCCCCGTGCTGCTGCCCCCCCGCGCTGGGCGCCACGGAAAGCAGGGCATGTATAGAGTCGTGGCCGCGGAGGCCAGAAACTGATCCACATCCCCGCCCTGGCTCCTCGTGGGGTTTGGGACGCGAGCGGGGGCGTGGATAGGAGGTCGACCGTCTACTTCCCAGGTCACCGTATGGGAGAAACGATACGTCGGATCGCCGGGGGGGCAGGCCAGCGAGGCCTCGGGAGACGAGAACAATCGAGGGATAAAACACGGCACAGCCACACAGTTCGGCGGCGAAGTCTGAACCCTGCCCTCGCCGATCCACGGTTCGGGCAATTCGGTGGGCGGCGAGGTTACGGACCGGAGCTTTGTCGAACACGTGGCGCAATCCGAACCCCACCTCTGCTATTCCCATCTCGACTACACGTAAGAGTGAACCTTCGCCGGAGTGACCTTTGGTGCGGGCTCTCCGGGGTCCCCCCGATCGCTGAGCGCCATGTGATAGTGGCTGCCTGCGTGCTTGGATTTGGCCACTTTGCGCCCCCTCAGTCCGCGCACAAGAGGTCACTCTTGCCTAGGGTCACTCTTGCGTGTAGCCGACCATCGATCCAATCGGCTGTTGCTGGGGAAAAAGGTTCGGGCGCCGCCGCCTCATTTTTTTGTCGGAGGTCCGCGCGGTCTTCTTCGGTCGGCGCGGAGCCCCTTGGCGGCGCCTTTGGCTCCGCCACTATAGACCGCTCCGCGCGACGGGTAGGGGGATCCGGCGAACTCCGCCCGGACATCATCAGGCGATCGCAAGCATGGAAAGAGGACGTGGATTAGCGACGGGTCCCGTTTCCATGAGAAACCGCGGATTTCCGCCGCCGAGCGAGGCGGCACCGTCCGCATGTTGGGGAGGGTACCTCCCCCGATCTATGGATTTGGCGACCGCGCGCCAAATCCATGGATCGCTAATTATTCCATGTTTGCGTGCCCCCCCCAACAAAAAAGCTTTTGTGCAGTTTTCTCCTTCACGCTGTACATCCTACACCGACCCTGGTCAGGCCCACCCTTCAGTGTCGTTGTTTCCTTCCCCGTCCCCACTGGGCCAGGGCACCTTTTGACGCCACCAGCCCATTCGCCTCCCAGGGTGGGGGTAGATGCGGCGAATCCCGAGGGAGTCAGGATATATGATCCCCACCATGGGAAGGGGGAGGTCGGCCAGCGGGTCCAAGGCTTCCCCAGCGGGGATAGGGGGTAGGCCCGACGATGCCGTTTCCTTGGCCCAGAATCGGTGCACACGCTTTCCGGGGACCCCCAAACGGAGTGGTGACCACAGCGCGTGGTGAGTCAGTGGGATTTTGGGGTCGCCGCACGTTTTTGGGACTCGGGTCGTTCTCCCAGGACGTCTTGGGCGACTGGGGCCTACTGGGGCCTCCAGGGCCCCAAAGCCTTTCGGTGACAGACCGCACGGTGAGGTCGTTGGGGATTCCGCTGACGCCTCGCGGTCCGTCACCACGCGGTGTCGGTGGGGCCCCAGAGCCTTCCCAGGCGAGCAATGCGGCGGGACGCACCGATCCTGGGCCCAGGAAGCGCCCGGCCAGGACCAGTGCGGCGCGTGCGGTCGGCGTCCTCCCGTGGACCTGGAGGGGAACGTCCTGGCCTGGCAGTCGCTCGCGGAGCGGCTGTCGACGGCCGTCGTCACAGAGGAACTGTTGGGCAGGGCGCGACGCGCGTTCGGGCTGCGCGAGGGGCAGTCGTTGTGGCTCCACCAGCTGCTTACAACGGCGTTCCCGCACCTCCAGGGGAAGAACAGCGCGGCACAGCCATGAGCTTTCGGAGCTTCGCGCGGATTTCTTGGGTTTCGCTACTTGCCAAAACCCCCCAAGCCAACCCACAGGTCCCAGAACCCCCCAAAGTTCGGGTTGGGGGGCGACCAGGTTCCATCGTGTTTTCTCGATGCTCCAGAATGTCCCCCCGCTGGAGATGGACAGGCCTAACGGCGACTTCGAGTTGGGTCGAGGTGGCTTGGTGGGTACTTCGTCAGGATCACCGCCAGAGCCCCTCACAGGCGCGCAGAGCGCGCCAGGGAGGGGGTCCAGAGTCCCACGGGAGTGGTGGGCGCACGTCCCCGTCCCCCTCGCGCGTGCCTCCGAGCCTGGCCCCGAGGCCCCTGCCAGCTGCAACCGCTCCCGCACGGCTGGGGGCTGGCCGAAGGTCCGCGCAGACTCCTCCCGCGCGGAGCGCGCCAGGGGCCCAGCGCCGCTCCGAGAACCTGCACGGACCTCCAAGCTCGGAGGAGGAAAGGGTACCCCGTACCGCCACCCCTGCGCCGTTTCCCTCTGTCCGGGCCTCCTGGGAGGTCCTCGTCGCCACCGCTGGATTCGCCTCGAGAGTATGGCCAGAACGCACCCCAGGAGAGGTCTGGAGAGTAGCGGTATCTGTACCTTTTGGCTTCCCCGCAGAAGTTCCGAGCATTTTCTTTGGGTGGAGGGCAAAGGTTGAAATCTGAAATGCCGTTTCGATTGATTTTCGAGGCTTGAATCTGCAAAAGGTGAATCACAAGACGGATTGATCTTCGAGGTTCAAAAGCCCATATGGATTTCATCCTCAACCCTCCACCCTAACGGAACAGATCAGGACGCTGATGCCTGTGCAGCTGTTCCTCCCCCTGACCTCGCCACCAAGAATGCGGCACGCCAGGCCCAGCGCCGGGGGCACGTGCAGGTCGACGGCGCTCCGGTCACGGCCTGCGCCTGGGCGCCGCCGGCGGGCGCCGTGCTCCAGGCGAGCGACGGAGGAGAACGGGGCCGTCTGCGCGGGCATTCGCGCGTCAGCCGAAGTCGGGCCTGTCCCTCTACAAGGGGGGGTATTCGAAAAGATTCAAAACATAGTTTGGGGACGATCTTTGCACTTTTAATTTCTCGTTTGTTAATCTTATTGAGGGCCTTTTCGACTTTAACTTTTCGATGAATCTGCGCCTGCAGGGGGACAGGCCCCACCCAAGCGCAAGCTTGCCGCGTACGGTGGCGCGTGCGCGCCCTCGTTTGCACTGCGGCGTGCCACGCTGGCGGCCCGCGTAGGCCGCGGCGTGTAAGGTCTCCGGGTCTTCTTGAGGCCAGACCCCCGGCGCCATGGTTTGTGCCCGACGTCGACCGCCAGAGGGCTCGAGCCCTTCCCCGGGACCGGCTATGCGCCCGGAGTCGTGGTCGGACGGCTCTTAGGCCCGGCGAGGCCCCCCGTGAGGCCGAGTATGGCCCAAATCCGCCCGTCGCGTGCCACGTTTTTCGCGACGCGCGGGGGTCGTGCCCCCCCCCCCTTTCCCTCTCCCTGCCTTCTGGGCCTCCTAGAGGGGGTCGGAGTAGATGGTGTCGGAGGATCGAGCCGCATCGCCGATGCATCGCCGATGCGGCTCGATGTGGGGCCCGATTTGCTTCACGTCGACATCGCCGATGCATCGCCGACGTCGACGATGCATCACCGGTGCATCACCGATGCATCGCCGATGCATCGCCGTCGGCGATGCGGCGCAATCCTCTGACCCCATCTACTCCGACCCCATCTAGGAGGACTCTATGCTTCCGTGGACAACAGTAGGGGGGGAGAGGCATAGGGTGGATGCATCGACCCCCAATCGCCCATTGATCGCCGATAGGGGCCCGATAGTCCCAACCTGCCCAGGAAGGATCGGATTCACATTCGGAGGCCTATCGCCGATCTATCGGCGATGTGTCGCCGATTCCAGATCAATGCATCCCCCCCTATGCCAGACCCCCCCAATCGTTGCCCCTCATGCTTGGCTTCCTCTCTCCGACCCCTCCCCGTCCTTCCGTCTGTCAGCCCGGTCTGTCCTTTCCATGTCGTCCTCCCCTATTCTCTTTCCGTCCTCTCGTCTCCTGGGCTCGCTTAACCCGCTCCCTTTTTGTTTGCCTTGCTTGGCCCGCTTTTCTCTGTCGGCTTGCCCTTTGCCTGTTGCGCGTATAGCCCCCTTCGTCGACCAGGGGGAGCACGACCCGTGTGCTTTCGCCGCTACAGGTGCGGTCGGGCCGCGTGGACCAGCTCGACCCAGGGCTGGCGGAGCGCGCGGCCGCCTGGAACCTCGGCAGGGGCGGGCGCGAGGAGAACAGACTGGCGGTTCTGCGCTCCTGCCCGGACGAGGCGTCGCGCGGTGGCGAAGCGTCCCGGCCTGCCCACACCCTCGGCCTGCACCTTCCGCGCGGCAGGTGCCGCCGCGATGCAGCACGGACGTTGCCCGCCGTTGCGGCCTCGGCGGCGGCCGCGGCAGCGCGGCACCCACCGCGCTGAAGGTGCGGAAGGTGCAGGTGCGAGGGTCCATTTGTATTCGATGGATCCGAGCCGAGGTCGGTGTCGGCCAGTTCGATGCGATTCGATTCCGAAGTTCCGACTATCCGATGCGGCCTTCGTTCGCATAGCGTTGTTGTGCACCTTGGTGTGGCCGAATCGATTCGAGTCCGACTCCGTGCCGATGCAGCCCGATCCGATATACATGTCTATTCGGTCCGACTTACCGATCCGACGTTGACGATCTTGCAGTGGCGCAGCGTCCCGGCTTACTTACAGGTTCCCGAAGAATGCTCTAAGCACCTGTCCCCAGACATCGGAGGATGTGCTGTTTTCGATGCGGCCGTTTTTCCTGGATTTCAGCCTCTTGGGGCTGTTATCGGGCCCCAGGGCCGTCAAACATGCATACTGGACGAGAAACTACCTTCATAAGGGAAGGGAGCGCTGGGGCCGCGGATTGAAAGAATCAGATCTTCGGATAACTGGGCTTGCAGTTGGCACGAAGTGTCTGTCCGAGACCATCTTCTTTCAGTCCGCCAGATTCATGGGAATTTGTCTTTGTCGGGAGCCTTGAGACGGGGGTCAATCCAAACGGGGGTCAGCCAGAGCGCTGGATCTTGCAGGACCCTGCTGGGCCAGGGTCGCACTGACCCGGATCTGGGTGCAGGATCCTGCAGGATCCTTCGCGTTGACCCGGGCTTGGGTGCAGGATCTGGCAGGATTTTGCAGGATGTTGCAAGGCGTGACTGACCCGGGTCTTGATTGATTTGGGTCAGAAAATCCCCGATTTTGTTATAAGAGCGTTCTTTTGGTCTATTGTAGGAAGGCCGGGGCGGTCTGCCCCTGCTCAATCTCAGGGCTGGGCTGTGGTCAACAAGCCGGCGGGCCTGCACACCACCCCCGACGGCCCCGCCAACAATCTCAGGATGCAGCTCCTGAGAGGTAACATTTAACTCGGGCCTGTCCCTCAACAGGAGGAATATTCCAAAATAGGAAAGATAGCCTGGGGACTATTTTTTTATAACGTATTTGTTGAGCATTCTTGGCGCATTTTTGTTGCGTATTTTTAATTTTCCGTCCAACATCCCCTTGTAGGGGGACAGGCCCGACCTAAGGTTACGTTCCGCAGACAATAATGGCGTCGTGACACAACAAATCAGCGCGAGGGTTTTTAGCCTGTTTTGGCCTCTGGGGGCCCTGGCCAGGCCTGAGGACAGTCAGAAAATTGCTCAAGATGAAACACCAGTGCTGGGGAGAAGGTCTCGGGGGCGGCCAAGAGGGGGGTGAGTGACGACTAGGGGGTGTGGATATCATGGCGTGGGCCATGATGTTTCCCCTGATTTCATGGCGCCTCTTCTTATTTCATTACGTCCCTGCCCCAACCCCCACCCCTGGGCCGCGCACATGCCGCCAGCCATGATTTGCGCGCCCCCCCCCCTCTTGGACGCCCCCCTCTCGGCCGCTCCCGAAGGTCGGGACTTTGGCGGACCCAGTATTGAAACAGTCAGGATGAGCCTCGGCGCTGGCATATCCGTCGTCATAAACTAGCCGAGTCCATCCAGCAAAACCCCTCACATCTGGCTCGATCCCGTTCAATCTGGCTTGATCTGAACCTTATCTAGTTCAGGGGGCCCTGAATCGGCCGAGTCGCCCTTATTTGCCCTGTACGGAGACCTCCGAGGAGTTGCTCCTGACACAATCGAATAATAAAACATGGCATGAGCATGTGCTTTCGGAGGTTCGCATGGATTTCTGGGATCGGCGCCGGATTTTGTCATGGCAGCGCCGCGCGTGCCAGGACGGAGGGTCTAACACCGATCCAAGAAATCCGCGCAGGCCCCCGACAGTTTTTTGATGCGATGTGCGGATGTTTTTTATTCTGCACGAGAAGCTGACGCTCCACTCATATCTGCCCGCCCTGCTGCCGCCGCCCGCGAGCGGGGACTACTGCCCCAGGCCGCTCCCCTGCCACCGGCTGGACTTTTGGGTCTCGGGCCCCGTGGTGGTGGCCACGGCAACGGACGCATTGCGCAGCATCTCCACGGCCTTCGAGGATCCAGGCCTCCAAGGTAAGGTCCGAGCGGATGGGGTCTCGTAGCTTTGAGGTTCGAGGGCTGGGTTGTTTCAGCGCCTCCGTTGATTCCCGTCGGGCTGGATGCGGATGCCAGTGTTCTCCACACCGACGTCGCCGATGAATCGTCGATGTGCCGGCGATGCATCCGCGATGCGGCGCGATCCTCTGAACCCCCCCGTCTGCTCGGGCCCCACCTTGGAGGCCTCCAGAGGAGCGCCTGGTTCAGAAGGAGTACCGTGCGGTCGTGTGCGGGCGCGTCGGCGCTGCGGGCGATGTCTTCACCATCGACGCGCCCGTGGGCGGCAAAGATCGAGGAAGAGAAAATGCGCACAGCCGAGCTTGATTCGTGCGTCGACCTTGCCAAATCAAGGGTGCCCTCGCGTCCTGTGCTTAGCGACCGATGCCTTTACATTCCTACGGCGATGTTGCCCTCGGAATGGTCTTGGATCCTCTCGCGCGTCCTCTCCAATCCAACTCGAGTGTAACCGTTCGGAGTTCCGCGCCGATTTCTCGGATCGGCCCTGGACTCCCAGCGCGTAAGGGGCGGTGCTGGAGGCGCCGCCAGGGGTGACCCTGGGCGCGGGTCCGAAAAATTCGCCCGGAGCTCCGAAAATTGATGTTTCTGTCGTTTTGGTTATTTTCGAGGAGTCGCAGACGGAGGTGGAGGTCCTCCAGACCGCCGACTGCCCGCATTGCGGCGCCCTCTCGGAGCTGGCCCTGCGCCCGCTGCAGGGGCGGTTCCACCAGCTGCGGCTGCACTGCGTGGAAGCCATGGGCGCACCGATCGTCAACGAGGATCAGGGCCTCCCAATGTATTTCACCCCTCGGAGTACGCGCTCGTGGGTTTTCTGGGTCGGACTCGTGGGACCATCTCGTGCCTTCCCCTCTCCGCTTTCTCTTTCCCTCATCCTTCTTCCTTGGAGCGTCAGCGTCAATGAGGGTGTCGCTAAGATCAAGAGACGCGAGCTGCAAAGCCGGCTTTGTCTTGGGCAGTCGGACCCTTCGGTGCGCTCAAAGTTGTGGCGACATAGCTCCAACGCCCGTCGAGCAGCTCCCTGTGGCCGCAGCCGCTGTACATGCGGAGCTTGTTGAACAAAGCACAGACGCTCTCCTTCTGCACTGCAATTTCATGCTCGCGACAGACAGTAGGTCAGACAACGCGGTGTGCCCAAGATGTCTGTTCCCGCTGAGGAATGACGCTGTTGGCCCAGCGCTCGGCTACGACAGCCAGCGCGTGCAAAACGTCTTCGATGCAGTAGCTCCAGGTTTCTTGGACCTTGATCCAGGAGAGCCCATCGCATGTCGAGATATCCGCGGCCGCAGGAGTGCGGCGCTGACTGAGCTCAAGAAGGTCAAGCGTACCTGTGCAACGAGGTTCTGTGCTACCCTGGCGCAGCGACGGGACGCTGGCCAGCGGCGGGCGGACTCCATGGCACGAAACACAGACAGCAAAAGCTGTGCGCAGGCTCCCCGTCACCTGGCTCGACAGTGGCACGAATGCACAGACGCATGCGACGATCGGGCCGTCGACCCGACCGTGCCCGAGGAAGAGATCGGCCCAGACCCCATGGGCCGCCGAGCCGCGCCCAACAGGGAGCGCAGGAGCGCACCGCTCATGGGCGCAACGCTCGGCTGCCCAGGCAGGGCGTCGCTGGGGGAGGCCAGCTCTGGCTCGACACCTGGCCGCTGCAGAGAGAGAGAGAGAGAGACGCGCGGCGCTGGCCTCTTCGACGCGGAGGCAGCGCCCCCCGCGGCGCCGCGCGTCGGCGCAGCTCGCCACATCGGCCGCCTTCCACAAGGCAACGGACCGAGGCCATGCCGCCTCCGTAGATCACCGGGCGCGTCCCATTACTCGCAAAGTGCCTACTCGCAGAACGTCCGAAAAGCACGTGTCTGCCTCGATGTAATTCAGCGTAGATCCCCCGCGGCGGATCCAGGCCACTTGCGAGAGTAGTTCCTTTGCGAGCAGTGGAACGCGCTCGTCTCATAGACGAGAGGGGCACCCATCCCCCGAGGACCGGCACCACCGCGTGCTGGGCCGTTTTTGGAAACAGCGACGGGGCCATGTGACTCGGGACCTCCCACAGGGGGGAGTTGCCACACGGGGGGTGAGTTCGGTCCGTTGGCGCATCGAACCGCAGAGAAACAATGCAAAACAAGGTCTCCGGCCGCCGCCGCACCCCGAGAGGTGTCGGCGCACGACGGAGCCCGTCTACGAGCGTGCGCGGTCGGCACAGCATTAAGAGCACGACCCCTGGGCGCGCGGGCCAGATGGCGCCCACCGTTGGCAGAACGCCGAGCCGAGGCCGACCGCGCCCGCGGACAGCGGGCCCACTGCCGCCTCGAGTTCGGAGCCGAGCGCAGCCCCCTACCAGCGGTCCCAGCCCGCAAGGAGGGCGCCCATGGAAGCAGACCGTCCGCGGGTGAACCGTCGGCCCCTACAATGGAGCAGGCGATCGAGGCTACGACTGGCACAGGGATGAGAAGTGGGATGTGAGTTCACGTTGGATGCCCGATGGGGCAACCTGTCGCTACAGTTCCGGCCCCCACTATATCTTGCTCTCTTTCTCTCTCCCGCTCTCTCGTTCTCTTGTTCTCTCTCTGTTGCTGTTTTTGTTGTTCTCTCTCTCTCTCACTCTCTCTCTCTCTCTCTCTTCCTTTTTTTTTTTTTCTCTCTCTCTCTCTCTCTCTCCCTCTGCACATATATATATATATACACATTGCGTTAACGGTCTCTCTCTCTCTCACTCTTCGTCCTCTCGTTCTCTCTCTCTCTCTATCTCTATGTCTCTCTCTATAGATTATGTTGTTTATTTCCTTATATATATATATATTATATATCAGTATGTATAAACGTGAATGCTTGTATTGTTTATGTTGCTCTCTCTTTCTTTCTCGCTCGCTCGCTCTCTCTCGCTATCTGTTGTCATGTCTCTCTTTTTGTTTTTTTTGTTTTCTCTCTCTCTCTCTCTCTCTCCCCGTATATGTATGTGTATATATATGTATGTATATATATATATATATGTATGTGTATATCCCTCTCCGTATGTATGTTGTGTCTTGATTTCTCGTGTTCTCTCTCTCTCTCTCTTTTTCCCTGTCTTTCTCCGTTGTTGTGTTGTTGTTTTGTTTTTCCTCTCGCTCACTCCCTCTCTCTCTCTCTCTCCCTCTCCCATGATGTGTCATATTTCTTTATTTCCCTTTTCTCTCTTTCTCTCTCTCGCTCTGTCTCGCCATCTTTATCTCCCTCTCTCTCCTCTCTGCTTTTCTCTGCCTCTATCTCCCTCTCCCTTTCGCTCTCCATCTCCATCTCTCTCTCTCTCTCGTTCTGCTTCTCTGCGTATCTCTCTCTTTCTCTTTTTAGTTGTTTCCATCCCTCTCCATATCATTTTATCTCTGTATTTTGTGAATCCTTCTTCCTCTTTCTCTCTCCATATTCTTCTCTCTCGCTTTCCCTTTCCTTGTCTCTCTCTCTCTCTCTCTTTCTCTTTCTCTATATATCTCTCTCTCTCTCTCTCTCCCCCCATCTCTCTTTCTCTCTCCTTTTTTTGTTTTCTCTCTCTCTCTCTCTCTCTTTCTCTCCATCCCTCTCTCTCTCTGTCCCCCTTTTACTTGCTGCATCTCTTGATTTCTCTTTCTCTCTCTCCGTTCTTAGTGCCTCGATGATTTCCATTTCTATCTCTCTTTCTCTTCCTTTCTCTCTCTCTCTCTCCCTCTGTCTCTCACTCCGCTCTCTCTCGCTCTCTCTCTCTCTCTCCCTCTCCTAGTCCCTTTTTCCCTCTCTATCTCTCTTTCGATGTGTTGTTGTCTTTCCCCCTCTCTCTCTATCGCGCGCTCTCTCGTTCTCTCTCTCTCTCTCTCTCGCTTTCTCTCTCTCTCTCTCTCTCTTTCTCTTTCTCGTTATCCCTCGCCCTGTCGCTCTCTGTCTCTCTTCGCCCTTCGCCCGGCCGTGGGGCATGAGTTTCCTATCCTTGCTGGCCAATTCTGCCGTCGACGAGGCCTTCGGCACTTGCTACCTCTGAAGAAGTTTGGGGCCGATCGCTGCCGCCCCTCCGCCCTGGGCGGAGGGCGTCTCCTTCTGTCTCCTTGGTGCCCGAGAACGTTGCGCCTCTTGTTTTGGGTCCGGGGCTCTCCTCCGTCCGCGTTTTCTGGGGTCGGGGGCCTGGGGTGAATCCGCGCGGGCGTTGCACCCCTCGGAGTGGGCGCGTTTCATTTTAGCGGTCGCCCCGCTTCGGGCTTCGGGGGCCGGCCCCTTGGGGCAATTTCGGGACCCACCCTCTCCGCTGTCTCTTTCCCTCCTCCTCCTTCCGAAGATCCAGGAGAGGATGGGGCCCCGCTGGAGCGTTTATACTCGCCCATCAGGAGGGGACCCGGCGCGCGCGCGCGCTGTCGTCGTCGTTCCTCCTCTTCCCCCCTAGCCTGTTGCGCCTGCAAGTGCGTGCAAAAAAACAAGTGCGTGCCCTAGGCGCGGGACACGTCCGCCATCAGAGGCGAGGCGAGGTTGTCAAATCAAAGGGTTTTGAGTATGGCTCAAATGCCGCCCCAGCTTTATACTCGTTCGAACGAGGCCCGAGCAAATTGGGTCGGAGGGCCGCCGATGCATCGGCGTCGCGGCTCGACGCGGCGCCGATGTGCCAGCGATGCGTCGGCGATGCGGCACAAGCTTCCGATTCCATCTGCTTGGACCCCGCGTGGAAGGCCCCTGAGGACGGCGGCATTTACGCGCGGGCGGAGTTCGCGTGGCGGCGGCGGCACGGCACGCCGCTGCCTCCCCGGGTGCACCGCGGCGTGGGCGGCCTGTTTTTGCAGGCTTCGAGGACCAGAAAAACGGCATGAACATGAATCAGAGGTGCGTGAATTGCGACAACGGTACTCGGCTTCTGTGGGGCGATCTGCTATCGCCACGGCTGGACGCAGCTAGGAAAACATCCAGAAGTCCGCGCGGATTACTCGGATTGCTAAGGCGTTACGGCCAGTGCCGCCGACCCTGGAGGCCTCGGATCTCGACGGAAATGGGGGGAAAGGGGGGCCGTGGGCCCCGGGAGGGTGGTATTCTGACCCGGGACCACCCCCAGGGACCCAGCAGCTCGGCAAGCATCCAGAAGTCCGCGCGGATGTTTCGGATTTGCGCTGCGCTCCCCTTGCGGCGCCTTCAGCGCCGCCCCGGGCGCACTCCGCGCGCCAGGGAGGGTGGACCCACCGCCGATCCAACAAAGCCGTGCCGGGACAAGCCCGTGGGGGAGCGCTTCGATCCCCGACTGCCCACTCCTCGCCGATCAGGGGCCCGATCGCCGGGCCCTGCCCAGGAACGCATGGATTCCATAACGAGGGCCCTCCGCCGATCAATCTGATGGGCCTGTTTTCCACTACCACCACCATAAGTTAGGGGGAAGGAGATGGGTGACGAGGAGGAGGAGGACGAAGAGGAGGAGGAGGAGGAGGAGGAGGAGGAGGAGGAAGAGGACCCCCTACGGACCCCCTCCCCTTACTTATGGTGGTGGTGGTGGAAAACAGGCTCATCACAATCGGTGATTGTATACAAAATTCCAGGACGACGTTTCCCCGCAAGCCCGGTCACCTGGTGATTTTCGGGTCAGGACTTGGGCCTCTGGCGGCCGATCGGAGTGGTCTGGGAGCCCCCAAGACGCTCTCGGCGAGGCGCAACCGCTGCAAGGCGTCCCGAGGATGGAGGGCCACCGAAAACGATGGAGCGTTTGAAACTTTCATCGCATTGATGCATTCCCGGGCGATAGCGGGCGTTACTGGAAGAAGGGGGTGGGCCGGTAACGTCGCGTTTCTTGTTGGCGCCGTCTGTGAGGGATAAGGAATAATCGAAGACAGTGCGGACGTCAGCACGACTCGTTTGGTGAGGGGGGGCAGCCGGGGTCAATAGCGGCCGCCATTGCGAGAAAACATTGTCTTTCGAATCTCTAAGTTGCGACTCAGACGTTGTCTCAGTTTCAGAGGCAACGTCGAAGTCGAGGCAACGACTACAAACGATTTTGACTATTCCCCTTGTTTGGGTGGCAGTGCCTTGATGCTTGGGTGACTACGCGTCCCTGGTATTGTCATCGCCTCGATGTCGCCTCGGATCACTACCCACCACACCACCCAAATCCAACCTGAAGGCCCCAAGGTGCCCCCCATTCCCAGTTGGGGGGCTCCCGGGAAAATGGACAAAAACACGGTCGGAACCCGCACCTCCCCCAAACCGAAATTTGTGATTTCCGGTTATGGTTGGATGTTTTGGTGGGCAATTTTTCAAAATTACGGTTAAGTCCGGCCTGTCCCTCTACAGGAGGAGTAGTCAAACATAGTCCAGAAATGATATGCGGACCATTTTTTAAGATGGTTGAGCATTTTGGGGTATTTTCAATTTTTTTCGTCCAGAATCCCCCTATAGGGGGACAGGTCCGACTTAGAATTACGGCTTCGACGTTGCCCCCTCAGGCCGTCGCGGTGACGTTCCCGCGCCCCGGCCGGCGCGGCGAGGCAGCCAGTGTGCGCGCGCCCGCTGCCGAGCGGTTCGGGGCACTGATGCGGCAGAGCCAGGGCGCCTGGGACTACTGCCACCGGGGCACCACGCCGCGCCAAGCGTGGCCTCCTCCCCTTCCAGCGGGCTGGGCGAGAGGGGGGGGATTGGGGCAGAAAGGGGGGGTACGAAATCTGCTGCATGCAGCTGGTTTCGGCCCCACCGCGGGGCCCATTCCTCGATACATAGTCGCCTCCAGCGCCTGGAAAATCAGCTACGTCAGCTGATTCTCTCTCCCCCCTTGGCTATCCCCCCCTTTCGCCCGGCCCGATTCAGGCCGATCGATCCGTTTCGCCATAGAGTCAGGATCGTGTTTGGAGATCATTTTTATGCCGTGTATTGTTTTTATAAGAATGGGCACAGGAGCAGCACGCAACGCCAAACCCGGCCTCTTCCCCTCCAATCGAAGAAGAAGAAAACTAATAAGAAGAAGAAAATCAGGGACGCTGCGACACAACACACGAGCTGTCGGAGTCCCGCGCGAATTGCTCGGATCGGCGCGCCAGGGGGAGAGGGGTTGCGGCGCAGATCCAAGAAATCTTCGCGGAATTCTGAAAGGTTCTGTTTACGCAGTTGTTTCTTCCTGTACCTTCGTCGAGTAGAAGGACCCCTGACCCCAATATAACAAAGCAGACGTAGCTTAACTTAGGTCCCGTGTTTGCATCAGGGATAAAACATTTGGGCGATTTGGCTCGGTACACCGGCAGAATAAGACACTCTGTCCCTCAAGTCCTGGATCGCCTTATTTAGATTTGCTCCCACAGGGTTAGGAGTCCTTTTATTGCTAATTGTAACTCTGGGCACAGGGGCATCACGCCGCGCCACGCTGGCCTCCTTCCCTGCAGGCCGATCGAACCGATCCTCCATAGGATCAGGAGCAGCGTTAGGGGGTTAGGCTCGAGGCTCTGAGGTTTTCTTACTTTGTCATACATTCTTGGCGGGTTCCTGGCCGCTCGGTGCCTTTCAGCGGCGGCGCCTCGCCGCGGGAGCTCTGAGAGTGTCTGGATCGTCCCGAACGGCTGCGGGAGACCCGAGTGATGACCCGAAAACCGATGCATCGGCGATGCGACTCGATGTGCAGCCCGATTCCCTCCGCACCGGCGGTGCGGCGGGATCTTCCGACCCCGTCTATTCGGATCCCACGTGGGAGGCATCCATCCCCAGGCTTCGGAGGTTCGCGGAAGCATTCGGAAGGTGAGACCATTTCTTTGAGGTGCTCTCGTCATCGTGTGTTTGCCAGCAGGTGCGCTTCGCCAAGAGCGGTCAGGGGTGCCCGGCTCCTCCCCAGCGGTCGCTATAGGCCAGAGTTCTGGCCCGAAAGCCGACCCCAAGCGAGGGGGTCCGCGGTTCGGTCGATTCGTCTGCGTCGCGGTCGTTACATTTGAGCCAGTTCGGTCCGGTAGGCCGTGGCGTCGTTGCCGCATCTTCGCGTCCTTCCCGGCTGCCTCTGGCACATACGGATCAGGAGGGAAAAACACATACAGACACAATGAATCGTCGATCCTTCGGAAAATATGGGAAAATATGGGAAGTGGGGGGGAAGACATAAACCCAGAAAATAAAGGAAAACATGGGGAATCCTATTATTTGTGTGTCCCAGGGCCCCTTCAACATACGGATTCGGTCGTTTCGGTTTTCGTTGCCTGTTCGGTCTGTTTTCGGTTGCGCTGTCGTCGTGGATGGCCTGGACCTCCGACGCCGAGGTTATTTCAACCCCGGCGGTTGTGCTTGGATTTAGGCCTCCAGGAGCTTGTTTGGGGCCCTCGTGGGCCGTCTTGTAGCGATCTTGGAGGTCTGTTGGGCAGTCAGGGGCGGCCTGAAACTCGAAAAGGCCAGAACGCGAAAATCGCTCAAAACGCCTGATCAAAATCGATTGGCGTTGCCTCTTGGCACCTTCTTGAGGCCCTCTTGGGCATCTTGGGGGCACCTTGGGCTGTCTTGAGGGCATGCTGGGCGTCTTGGAGCGCTTTTGGGCCGTCTCGGTACCCTCTTGGACTCTATTGGGGTCATTTCGGGACCCTCTTGGAAAGTGTTGGCGTTCTTTTCCCGCTGGGCATGTCACGCGACCGGCGTTAAACGTCGCGCGACACGGTACAGACATTCCATCAATTGGAGGTTTGGGCTCCTTTTTCTGAGTCTACGCAATAATCGGATATTACACAAAGGAGATTGTGAGGGATTTGGGGACACTCTAATGAGTGCCTATAGTTCGGTGGCGGACATGTGCATATCTACGAAAGAGCGCGCTCGTGGCGCACTTCTCACCAAAAGGGGGGCCCCAGCTTCAGGCTCCCCCTCCCCTCCCCTCCCTTGGAAAAGAGCGGGGGGCTTCCGAAACTACCCCCCCCCTCCCCTCTTTTGTGGAATGTTTTGAGCTGGGGGGCGGTGCTAGCCAAAGGGGAGGGGGGCTTGGCAGCCACCCCCCCGTCCCCCCCTTTTCGAGGCTCGGGGTCAGCCCGTGCTCCCCTTTCCAAGGGGCTGGGGGCTCCCGAAGCTACCCCCCCCTCCTCTTGTTTGGATTCTGTGGCGGGGGGCTCCCTGGCTGAAGAGGAGGGGGGCTTCGAAGCTGCCCCTCCGCCCTCCTGCTTTTCGGGGCCCGGGGTAGGCCCAGGCTCCCCTTTCCAACAAAAGGGGGGAGGGTGTCCGAAGCTACCCCCCTCCCCTCCGCCTGTTAGCTTTTCCAGTCGGAGGGCCCTAGCCGGGGGGGGGAGTTCGAAGCTACTTTTCTTCTTTGGTTTTCGGCGCGTTTGGGGCCTTTGGCGCTTCCTTGGTATTCGGCGCTGTTTGGTTTTCGGCGCTCCTTCAGCTTTCGGTGCTCATGTGGCTTTCCGCGTTCCTTTGGTCTTCGACGCCCTTTTGGGTTTCTGCGCACAGTTTATGGTTTTCGGCGCATCTTTGCTTTTCGGCGCCCTCTGGGTTCCGGTGCTCCTTTGGTTTTCGGCGCCCTCTTGGTTTTCAGCGCCTTCTGTGGTTTTCGGAGCTCCTTTTGATTTTCGCTCTTTGGTTTTCGAAGCCCCTTTGGTTTCTGGCGCTCTTCTGCTATCTGCGCGACGTTCTTTTTTGCCGCTCTTTGGTTTTCGACGACCTTTTGGTTATCGGCGCGTCTTTGGTTGTTGTCGGCGCCTTTCTGGCTTTCGGCGCGTCGTTGGTTCCTGTGCTCCTTTGCTTTTCGGCGCCGCTTTGATTTTCGGTGCCCCTTTTATTTTCTCAGTTCCTGAGGTTCTTCGAAGCTTTCGTTGTTTTCGTCGACTCTTTCGTTTTCGGCGCCCTTTTGGTTTTCGGCTCAACTCTGGTTTAATGCGCCCTTTTGGTTTTCGGCGCTTCATTGGTTTACGGCGCCCCTTTGGTTTTCGGCGTTTCGTTTGGTCTTCGGCGCTCTTTTGGTTTTCGGCGTCTCTTTGGTTTACGGCGCGCTTTTGGTTTTCGATGCTCCTTTTGTTTTTGGTGTCTTTTTGGTTTTCGATGTTCCTTTGGTTTCGATGCTCCTATGGTTTCGATGCTCCTTTGGTTTTCTGCGCCCCCTTGGTTTTCTGCGCTTCTTTGGGTGTCGGCGCTCTTTTGTTTTTCGGCGCTCCGTTGGTGCCCATTTGGTTTTTGGCGCCTCTTTGGTTGTTGGTTGTTGGCTCTGTATTGGTTTTCGGCGCCCCTTTGGTTTCCGGCGTGCTTTTCGACTTCGGAGACCCTTTGATTTTTGGCGCCGTTTTGGTTTTCTGCGCTTTTTGGTGTTCGGTGCTCTTTTGATGTGCAGCGCTGCTCTGGTTTTCGGCGTTCTTTTGGTTTTCGGCGTCTCTTTGGTTTTCGGCGCTCTTTTGGTTTTCAGAGCCTTCTTCCCAACCATCCTGTGGTGGTGGGTCTGCGCTTTGAAGAGACAGCGTCCCGCGTCCCACCTTTCCTCCTCTCAACCTCCCTCCCCCCACCTCCTCCTAGCATCATCTCATCGCCCCATCATCACCTCATCACTTCATCATCCCATCATCTCATCGTTATCTTTTCACCATCAACATCATCGTCATCGTCGTCACCGTTATCATCGTCATCATCATCATCATCTTCATCATCATCGCCGTTCTTGTCACAATCATCGCAGCTTATGCCTGCACACCCCTCACACGTTTCGTGGCCCACAAGGGAGCCCCACAGAAAGCCCCACTGTCTGCGCTCGCGTGCGGGCACCGCACCCATTCGGGCACACCCCTCACACGTTTCGTGGATCATAGGGAGCTCCACCGAAGGCCCCACTGGCTGCGCTCGCATGCGGGCACAGCGCCCAGTTCGGTACACCCCTCACACGTCACGTGGCCCCGAAGAGACCTCCACCGAAGTCCCCACTGGCTGCGCTCGCATGCGGGCACCGCGCCCTTTTCGGCACACCCCTCACACGTCACGTGGCCCCAAAGGGACCTCCACCGAGGGTCCCAGTGGCTGCGCTCGCACGCGGGCACCGCACCCATTTCGGCACATACCCATCACACGTCACGTGGCCCCATAGGGAGTTAGCTCCACCGAAGGTCCCAGTGGCTGCGCCCGCATGTGCCCACCGCACCCATTGCGGCACACCCCTCACACGCTTCGTGAGCCCATAGGGAGTTCCACCGAAGGCCTTTGTTGTCCCCCGCCCAGTACAGCGCGTTGTGGCCACACAGGGGGGCTCCACCGAAGGTCCCAGTGGCGGTTCCCCCACCCAGTGCAGCGCATCGTGGCCCCATAGGGGGGCTCCACCGAAGGTCCCAGTGGCGCAGTCCTCATGCGGTTCCCCCACCCAGTGCAGCGCTTCGTGGCCCCATAGAGAGGTCCACCGAAGGTCCCAGTGGCGCAGTCCGCATGCGGTTCCCCTGCCCAGTAGAGCGTCGAAGGTCCCAGTGGCGCAGCCCGCATGCGGTTCCCCCATCCAGCACAGCACTTCGCGGCCCCACACGGAGCTCCACCGAAGGTCCCAGTGGCGCAGTACAGCGTCTCGTGGCCATAGAAGGAGCTCCACGGAAGGTCCCAGTGACGCAGTTCGCATGCGGTTCCTCCACCCAGCACAGCGTTTCGTGGCCCCACTGGGACATCCACCGAAGGTCCCAGCGGCGCAGTTCGCATGCAGGTCCCC